ATGGCCTGGCCTTCAGCAGATGCACCTCCAGGCACCGTTGTGCTGTGTTCTCATCCTTTGTACTGACTCCCTAGTGGGCCCAGGCCTGTCTAACTGTCTAGGATATTTCTACCTAACTTGGCTGTCTATGATACTGGCAGCCACAGCCATAGCAACCCATGTGAATCCAGGAAGTGATGACCACATGCAAAGGCTTGCCAGCTAACCTAGCATACCACACACTGTCTGGAGCTAAAGAAATGCTCATCTGGCTAAGTAAATACACTGCCACCCTGAGTTCAGCCCAAGTCCATGGCCTTTTCAGCAAGTCCAATGGGCACAGATACATTCTTATGAGATTCAGTAACCTTCAGAGCCCCAGGAATCTTTATGAACTCAGAAAGAATCCAAAGGATAGTCAACTGTAAAACTGAGCACTGTGCTAAGAAGCCAGCCAGAGCCTGGATTCAAATCCTGACTTTTCTACTGACTTATTAGAGACCTTGGATAAGCCAGTCACATTACCTTTCCTGGCTTCAGCTTGTTTTCTAAAATATGAGCTGATGAAAAGGCATGTACTGAACACTGTGTACCTGTAGCTGGCCACCTGGTTACCTCTGTCTTAAAGGGGTTAGTCTCCTATTTTTTTTTTTTTTTTGGCGGAACCAGGGATGGAACTCAGGCCCTTGCACTTGCCAGGGAAGCGCTTATTCCAATGAGCCATCTCCCCAGTCCCTGGGGCTAGTCTTCTAAAGGAGAAAACTAACCGGTAATTTCAAGTCTCAGGGGCTGGGGAGATGGCAAGTGCAAGGGCCTGAGTTCAATCCCCAGTTCTGCAAAAAAAAAATAAAAAAATAAAAAAAAAATTCAAGTCTCAGAAATGCCATAAACAGATGAGTACAACAAAGTAACAGGGAAGAGCTGGGCATGGTGGTGCAAGCCTGTAAACCCTGTACTTAGGAGGTTGAGGCAGGAGGATCACTGCAAGTTCCAGACCAGCCTGAGCTACATAGTTCAAGGCCAGTGTAGAATACATATTGAGGCCCTATCTCAACAAATGAATGAACAAAAAGATTCCAGCTAAAATCATATTGCTATAACAATGCAATAAAAAGAGGGAATTAACTAAAAAACAAGAAACTTTCTCCATTGATGGAAATATTCTCTCTCCTGATGATGGTGGAGGTTACAGGTCTGTATATATCTGTCAAATTCACAGATTTGTATACTTAAGATGGGTACAATCTACTGTGTATAAATAAAACCTTAATAAAACAGAATAGAATAAAAGGCAGAAAAGAGATAAGGGCCAGGGATATAGCTCAGTGGCTTAATAAGCACCTGCCTGGCAAATGCAAAGTCCTGAGTTCAATCCCCCATATGAAGGAAGATGAAGATAAAGATAAAGATAAAGATGAAGACGAAGATGAAGAAGGGAGACAAGGAAAAAAGATTTTTTTTTTAATTGCACTTAAAAAAAAAACAGGCCCAGCAAGATAGCTCAGTGAATTAAGTATCTGCTTAGTTAAGCACAGGGACTTGGGTTCAATCCTGGGCACCATATGCTGTGCCGGTCCCCTCCCAAGTGCACTGAGCCGGCTACCAAGTCCAGGAGTGGTGGTGCATGCACGCCTGTAATCCCAGTGCTGGGAGTCTTGAAAACAGGATCACTAGGAGTCTGAACTGTGTACCCGGCACAAAATACATTAAAAAGGGGGGTGGGGAATGGCCAGACAGCTCAGTGGATTAAAGCGCCTGCTTAGGCAGACATAGGGGCTGGGGGTTCAGATCCCCAGCCTGTGGTACAGGCCACGCCTGTGGGGCACACTGAGAAGGCAACTAAGACTGGGTGTGGTGACATGCGCTTGTAATCCCAGAGTTTGGGAGGCTGAAAAACAGGAAGAATCACTACAATCTGATCTGTGTAGTGAGACTCTGTAGACCCTGTACTACATACATAAAAAAATAAAGATAAAAAAGAAACTGCAGCCAGATATGATTGTGCAAATCTGTAATCCCTACACTTGGGAAACTAAGGCAGGAAGATCACTACAAGTTTAAGCCCCGCCTGGGCTACATAAGCAGGTTCAAGGCCAGCCTGCAATATATAATGAGACCTTGCCTCAAAAACAAAACAGCCAGGACTATAGCTCAATGGCACAGTGCCTACCTGGCAAGAGCAGGGTCTTGAGTTCAATTCCTGATAAAAAACAAACTAATCACCAGAAAAAGAAAAACTGCAGCTTCTGAATGCAAACTAGATTTACTTTTTTCCCTTCTCCCAAAACAACAAAACTGGGCAAATCCCTGGGAGTCTGCCTATTCCCTTTTATTTGCAAATGATCTTTATTCACCTATGAAAGGACCACCCTTTTGGAATTTCCCCTAGGAATAGACGATTATCTCACTAGGGTGGGCCATCCTCTGATACCCATTAAGGCTAAGACACAAAAAACATCCCCAGTTCCTGTATTGTGCCTCATTTCTGAGTACTCACAATCTTGAGAAGGTCCTGTATCTCCCTCTAATACACTCTTCTCACCACTCTTTTACTTCTATGTCCTGAAAAATCTTTTCCATGACAAAAGTCAGAGAATCTGTTTACTGATTTTAAAGGGGTGGATTGAGTGCCTTATTTCAGCCTGGGGACCCTCAGACCAGCCAGTGACAAAACACAGTTTTAAAAAATATGACAGTACAGGAGGATAGCAAGTTTAAGTCTAGCTTAGACAACTTATGAAGACACTATCTCACAATAAAAAACAAAGGCTGGCTGGGGTGGCACTCTTCTATAATTCTAGCACTCAGAAGGATCCCCATGGGGTAAAGCTGAACTGCATATCAAGTGGTACAGTGGTATAGTGCCCAAGTTTTGATACCTAGTACCACAAAACTCTCTCTCTCTCTCTCTCTCTCTCTCTCTCTCTCTCTCTCTCTGTTTCTGTCTCTTTCTCACAATCACATGAAGGGCTGAAGACCCTTCTAAGATACTTTAGAGATGAGGAAACAGTCTGGGAGGGAAAAAATGACTGCTCCTGCAGAGTCAACAGAACCCTGCTCTCCCAGTATGAAGGACAGGGTCCCCACAAGGTCCCACTGATACTGAGTTGATTCCCAGCCTCTCTGGGGACTGGGGTGCGGGGTTCCTCTACTGCAAAATGAAGGAGAAATCATTGCCAAGGCTTTTCCCCCTACAAACAACTCTTCTTACCAAGCAGTCTGGTGGAAAGGAAAGAAGTCAGTGCTCTGGAGTCAGAAAAAGTCAGCAGAACCTTTCCTCCTGGATGCATCTTGAGGCAAGCCTATGTACAGTGAAGTGAGGGTAATAATTCCCTCTATCTAATTTTGGGGCTTAGATAGAGGGCTGCGGTAAGGGATGTAGCTCAGTGGCAGTGCCTGAGCACAGCATTCTTTTCCATTTCTTTTGTTTTTTGAGACAAGGACTCACTCGCTACTTCAGGCTGGCCTTGAACTCACTATGTAGCCCAGGCTGACCTTGAACTCGCATCAGTCCTCCTGCTCCAACCTTCCAAGTGCTGGGATGCATCACCCAGAGTCTACAGCCTTCTTTTTATTTATTATTTTTTCTGTATGTGTGTGATGCTGACAATTGAACTCAGGGCCTTGTGCATTCAAGGCAAGAGCTCTACCACTCAGACACAGCCCTAGCCCATGCACAGAATTTTTGAGGTCCTAGATTCAATTCCTAGTATTAAAAATATATATATTATTATAATCACAATGCCCTCCAGCAAGCAGAACACACTGTACAATTGCTGGATCACAGTAGCCTCTCCAGAAGGGAAGCTGCTATATCTCTGGTACTTGGGCTCCTACATAACCTTACTTGGCCACCTCCTAGAACAGACACTCGGGTGACAGAAGGATAAGAAACAATGAGCTGCCACTGCTAGCCATGCATTGCATAACCTGTGTCGGGTGCACAGTCCACCCAGGCTCTGCTGGTCCACATTTTTATCTGGAGAAGTAAACAAGAGCCTGGTGCCCTCCCTGTCCACCACCAACACAGGGCCACCACCAACACTGCCTATATACAGTCAGCCACTTTCCAGAAGGATTTTTTTCTCTTCATGGGTACCTCTGTTTTTACACTGCCCTTTCAGTGTGGCTGCTGGCATTGCCAAGGTCTCAACTATGTGCACACTCCACCCATATCCGCCTTTCTCTGCCACCTGCCCCAAACGACTGGGGTGGTCCAGGTCACTACCTGCAACCTGCCTTTGTTCACCCAGTGCAGACTCAAATACCCTGAAACCCAAAAGGCTGTGAAACTTGCAGGCAGGAGTTCCTGGTTCCTCAGCCTATCCAATCTAGAGGTCTCACGGTCCTATAAAAGCTGAAGACTTTCCTCCACGGTGGAATTTCCCATTTTTACAGAAACAAAGACAAAGAGCTAACTATCCCAGCCAAAGGCAACCACGAGCAAACCTGAAACACCCAGACTGGCAGAGCCACCAAATTGACTCCCACTTGTGGGAAACTAAGGCGACAGCAACAGCCCCTCCTCTGAGTTCCAGGATCTTCCTGAAACCTGTAAACTTGGACCCTTGCAACGGCAGAGTGTGGCTCAGGAGTTACTGCGAACAGGAACCGGCAGTGCCCGGTCCTCGATCCGTCTGCCGCTCGGTCCCTGGGGCTGGCACCGCGATTTCATTCATCGTGTCTGTCACTCATCCAGCCGCCGTGGGACACGGTGGCAGCCACATCCTGCCCGCCTGCTCGGTGGCCAAGCCTCGTCCGCCCCCAACCCCCTTCCGGATCCGCGGAGTTCTGGGACTGCTCGGGCCGGTGGGGGAGGGGGCCGAGGAAAGTTCCGCCACAGCTACCCCGGCCATAAAGCGGCGCTGGAGGAGGCGTGGCCAGGCCGGAAATTCGGGCAGAAACTTTCAGCCCTCCAGCCTCAGAAGCCGCTACTTCCTGGGCCCTCTTTGCCCCCCTCCCCCGTACAGCTCGCCAGGTGCAGGGGCCTCAAGGGGCTCCCCGGGAAGGGTCTGTCCCACCTTGACCCGCTTGCCCTGGATCTCCAGCGTCTTCATGGTGAAGTCCACGCCGATAGTGCTGCCCTGGCGCTCCGAGAAGGTGCCAGTCTTGAAGCGCTGCACCACGCACGTCTTGCCCACGCTCGCGTCGCCCACCAGCACCAGCTTGAACAGGAAGTCGTAGTGCTCGTCCGGGTCCCCCGGCCCGGGCCCCGCCATAGCTCTGCACGCTGCCCCTGGCTTGGGCTCCGTGCGCTCCAGCCCACTGGCCCTGTGGCGACGTGGAGCCGAGGCGACAGCTGAACTGGTGTGGCCGCCGACCGCGCCTCTGCCCCGCCCCGGCCGGCCCGGAGCCTCCGGGCTCAGCCCCGCCCGCTCGCCTGGCCCGACGCGGCCCGACCCGGCCCGACCCTCCGCAACCCTCCGCGCCCGCCCGCCTGTGGTCTGCGCTCAGCTCCCTTCAGGCCAGCCCGGGGGCTTCTCAGCCCCGCGAGCTTCCCTCAACCCGGGCGGCCCCGCCCCGAGCACACGAGCCTTCCCTCAGGACCGCCCAAGGACCGCCCCCAGGCCCTGACTCCGCCCCCAGCTCGAGATCGTTTCCTCAGCTCAGCCCACGGCCCCGCCCTGAGCGCCCGAGCCTTCCCTCAAGACAGCCCTCGGTTACGCGCTTCGCACCCTGACTCCACCCCCGAGCCAGATCCTTCCCGGAGTACCACTGGAGTCGGCCCTCAGCACTCCGAGCCCGCCCTCTGCACCGCCCCTGACTCCGCCCCAACACCACATTCCGCCCCCATTCCAGCTCCGCCCTCCGCTCCGCATCGGGAAAGAAAATCCACCCCACTCCTCCAACCCTCCCCTTACCACAATTAGTCCCGCCCATACAAGGCTCCGCCCACTCACTCGCCCCGCCCCCAATGTGCTTGAGCCGCCACGGACCCCACCGGCGTCTCGCTTCTCGCTGCGCCTAGAAGTCCTTTTCTTCCTCCCTGTGCTCTGCCCACTCGGTCTCTTCTTCAGGTCGACCCTCAGGGGCAATCCCAGGAGATGCTCGGGGGAAGGGCTGGCCTGGGTAAGGCTGTGGGCAATGTCTGGGGACTGGGCTCCTGAGTTGACTCAGGAGCCAGGGGTCCTCAGAAAGATGAGGCCAAAAATAGTTAAAAGCCCAGAGTCAACCGGGCCTGATAGCCTCGGTTGACTGAGGCAGGAAGATCACCTTAGTTATGAGGACAGCCTGGGCTACATAATGAGATGAGACCTTGTCCAGAAACAATAATGAAAGCTTCAGTTCGATCAAATGGAACTCACCTCCCACAACTGGGAGCAGGGTTCAGATGTAAACCCTAGCCCTGTCAGACAGCTCTGCATGGCACATGCGTTTCCTAGGCTCTAGCCCGGCCTGGGTAACTTAGCAGGAGCCTATCTCAAAATAAAAGTATGGCCCTGGGTTAAAACAAAACAAAACAAACCAGCTGGACAGCTGAGCATGGTGGCATATGCTGGCAATCCCAGCACTCGGGAGGCTGAGACAGGAGAATCATCGTGAGTTTGAGGCCAGCCTGAGCTAGTGAGTTCAAGGCCAGTTCAAACTGCATAGCTGACACCTGCACTGAAAGAAAACCAGCAGGGTAAGAAGTCACCCAAAAGATGACTAGACAGAAACCATGAGATTCTGTGTCATGAATATGGAAAAGCACCTGCTACCAAGTATTAGGAAACTGAAAGCAAATATCCCCCAGAATTGTTGCAGATATGGGTGCTCTGGGCTGGTGTAAGCCTAGTGTGGCAGAGAGTAGCCCTTGGTATACTGGCCAGCAAAGCAGCAACAGACATCTGCTCTTTCCCTGCCAGGATCTCAAAATGTCACAAACACAGGGACAGATGAACCTCTTCTTTCAGCCTCTGCTGATGGTGATCTCACAATGGAGACCTTGACCCACCATACTTAGGCCACCTGCCTCAGCACCTCTCATCCAACTTCACCATACCCTGTGCCCTCAAATCCCTCTGCTAGCCCCAGACCAGGCCCAGGTGGTCCCAGGATGTTCTAGCTTCCTCCCAGATACACGCACAGGAAGTCACAGTCCTGCTTTCCTGACCACTTCAAGGAGAGCCCCAAGGAATGCATGTCCACATGTATTGTGCCCTCCAAGGCTGCACCCCTGCTCCCAGAGCACTTTCCTCCTGGGGCCAGCACCCTGTTCAGAGCAGCCTGCCCAAGGGACTCCAGAGCAACACTTCACCCTCGCTTTGCTGCCAAAGAGACTGCAGAAGCTATAACCCAGAAGCACTCAGGGGAGAACAAAGTGCAGACCTGGGCCAGCCCTGGGAGAGAGCCCTTTGTACTCCTCAGCAGGGCAGATGGGCAGGGACCACCCCCAAACTCCCCAGGGACCTGATTGCTCCAGGACCAAGGAAGGGGAAGTGGACCAGGCCACAGCATGTCTTCTCCCAGGAACCATTGGGTGGAAACAGAACAGGATGGGTTTCAGCCCCCATTGTACATGGGCTGGGGGTGAGGGAAAGGAGGACTGGGAGGACAGGCTGAGACAGGAAGAAAACTGTACTACAGCCATACTGGAGGATGGAGGCTGGGAGGGGAGGTGAGGGGAAGTCGATGGCAATGTGTCTATGGAAAAGTCGACTTTCTGATACTGCAGGGAGCGCCAAAGCTAACAGAAGTCATTGGATTTGGTGAACTAAATTAAGGCTGCCAAGACTGGTTAACTGGGCCCAAGCAGCCACATCCACTCTTATGGTCACACCCACTCTGGCAGCTTTCCTGCTGTCCTCAAGCTTGGCAGGAGGCCAGCTGAGAACTTCCCTCTGTTCTAGGCCCCAGGAAGACCTGTAAGATGGCCACCTGAGTTGCTCCACTCCAAGCCTGTTTTCCCCAGTATGGGTCCCAAGAGGCCCTGATGAGTCCTGAGGGGAGGCATTGGAGTCCTGAAGCCCTCAACCTCCAGGATGGGCTTGCTCTGGGCTTATCACCTCTTCCTGGGACCAATAATATGTGATGTGAGGATTTCCTGCCTTCTTCCACAAGTGAGGAAGCATCACTGCTTGTGGATACCCCTTGGAAGAAAATCTCATGACTGGGCCTTAAGTCCCCACCCACATCCCAACTACAGAAGCCAGAACAGAGATCAGAGGGTCTTCAGGTCCTTTATGCCTCTGCCCAGAGAATAGGGAAACTGAGGCTGGGTCCCAGGACTTGCTCAAAGACCCTACGTAGCTCACTCATAAGCCTATCCAGGGAGCCACAGGCTGCCTCTCCTCCCATCTCTGCCAGTGAAGTCCACCCTAGATTTCTCCCTCTTTTCTGTACATCCACTCAGGCTTAGCTCAAGGTTGGGACAGGGGCAGTACTTTAGGAAAGGAGTCACCAAAAGCTAGGTTCCTCCCTTATAACATTTCTAGTTACCAAAGTATCAGGTTCCTTAGAGGGAGCCAACACCGATGCTGGCTGGGCAGCTCTCCTGACCAGCTACCTGCAGCCACACATAGTTGTTCTGTTCCCATCTGTGCCACTCCCACAGGTGAGAAGAGCCCACTCTGGCTACAGGATCCCAGCAGTCAAAAGTCAGAGCCCCACGCTCAAGGGACAGTCACCTGTCCCTGACAGCACCAAGATGCTCCCACAATGCTGTGCAGCAAGAAGTCCAAGCCCTGGGCTACCAAGGCCTGTGGCCTCTGCAGGTGGTCCCCACTTGACAGTGAAGACCTGGCTCAGTGATCTCCCAACTCCTGGGTGTCCATTGTGGGCAAGTGGTTGTTCAACACAAGAGCCCATGGGGACCTCCTTGCCCACCTCCACCCCTTGGTAGAACCCAGAATGTGTTCTGTACCTGCCTCAGGAGCCTTCCTGTGGGTAACCTTATATTCCCTCACTATAGTCACCCCAGTAAACAGGCATGACAGTTTCTTTTTCTTATAAAAACTCTTTAATAAAAATGGTTCTCTGCAGAACAGATTACAACATGTAAGCTACAAAGTTAAAATTCCACCAAGGAGATGTGGGGGCTGGTGGAGAACTAGGGTAGTGCCCAGCATAGCAGGGCAACTCAGGCTACTGAACAGTGGACTTAAGGGTGACACATCTATGCTGAACAGTGGACTTAAGGGTGACACATCATCTCAGTTTTAAAGAGAAAGATGCATCTTTTTAGAAAAATTATACTTTTTATTTGCTTTTTTTTTTTTTTGAGACATGGTCTCACTATGTAGTGAAGGCTGACTTGGAACTCACTTGCCCAGACTGGCCTTGAACTTGTGGTGATCTTTGGGGTCTCCAGAGGGCTAGGATACAGGAGTGGTCCATTGCACCGAGCTTCATTTTTTAAAATGTTAGCCATGAATTGATTCTTCTCCCCTCAAAAGCACAGTGCAAAGTAAAACAAAACACTTAATAGGCAGTCAGAGAGCAATCTCGCACATACTCCAATATAAAACAAGTTCACACATGCCAAAATAAAAAGAAATGGTTCATGCAGTAGCCCACATAGGTCAAAATAAAAAGAAATGGGTTCACTGGTCATAAATCATCTGTAAAAAAGAGGAAGACAGGGCCGGGGAGATGGCTCAGTGGAATAAGCGCTTCCCTGGCAAGCGCAAGGGCCTGAGTTCAATCCCCGGTTCCAAAAAAAAAAAAAAAAAAAAAGAGGAAAACAGTCTAGGAGGGGAGGCAAAAGACAGACCACTACCACTGGATCAACCCTGGAGGCAAGGAAAGATGAGAGGGATAAAGGATGAGAAAGGAGGAACAGGGCCTCTGCGTGCCAGTGGCCTGACTGCAGCTGGGGTGACCATGAGGGCAGGAATCCCTCAGGGATGGCAGGTTGCCTGCTGGTTCTTCAGACTCCAGGGAGTAGCTGGCTCATCCTAGTAGCCCAAGAGCCTTTTGGCTTCTTCACTCTGGGCCTGAAGGGTTTCACTCGCATACTTCTGGAGCAGTTCCATTTTCTTCCTTCGCACAAGGGCTTCTTCAATCTGCAAGCAGCAGAGGACCAGGCTCAATCCTTGGCCTAGAGGCCCACCAGGAGGCAGTCCCTGGGAAGTGTGACTCACACACCCAGGTGGCCTCCAAGAGCCCCAACTCCTTCCCATCAGGAACATCTGACCTGTAGGGGTCCCACCCTTTCAAGAGTACAGCCTATTCCAGAGGAGTGGGCTCCTGTCCCTGGAGAGCTGGCAGCCTCTACCCTACCTCCTGCTGCGACGGCACCGGCACGTGAGCGATGAACTTCTGCTGCCCATCCTCCCCTCCTTTCTCCTGGCCACCTTCCTCATCAGACTGCAAAGAGAAAAAGCATGGCTATCACAGGGCACCTGTAACACTACTGATGACACCTCTGCAAGGTGGTGTCACCTTACAGCTGTCAGGAAAAAAACAAGGCAACAGGACATTTGTACTTTCATAGGGGATGCCCAAAACATTTTTTTTTCCCCCAAAACACATTGGAAAAATGACAGAATGCTCAGAATGCTCACGCTTTATGCCACCTCCTGTCTATGACAGAAAAAGACAGAAACAACAGCGGAGAACAGAGAAGACAGGGAACAGAGAGAAGAAAGATTCTTTATATACTATTTGAAAACTTGGGACTTCATTACCTATTTCTTTTAATTTAAATTTTAAAGATGTTCCACAGAAAGAAAGAAGATTAACTCAGAGGCTACAGATGATTATCAATAACTAAGGAAATAACACAGACCTGGAAACAAGGGACAGGGCTCTCACCATGCTGCCAATCTGCTGCTGGCCAGGCTCTGTGTCAGGTACCTACATGGGCCTGTCCCATTATAGCTGCCAGAGGGACCCTCTTCTAAGGTACTGGAAGTGCAAACGGTATGAGCATTTTGGGTCTCCCGGCCCCATTTTTAGATATTGTTTTGCTAAACTGTCCAGGTAGGGAACTTGAGATCCTTCTAAGTGCCAGAATTACAAGCATGCACCACCACACCTGGCTCAGCAGTTCTGGAAAACAATTGTACCTACAACTACTAAACACACCACACCCTAGGACCTAGAAATTCTACTCCTCCTAGACACTCAACAGAAATGTCACAGCAACCCTATGTTACGGCCCTCAAATGGACTCTAAACATAACCCACATCAGACGCAAGAGTACCAATGACTCCCTGGGTATCAAAAAGTCTGCAACAGACGAAAATACAGTACCAGAGATTAGGAAATTAAGCCCCAGACAAGACTGCACCTCTGTTCTAGCCCTGGCGTTGCCTTGTGACCCCCACACTCTGGACCGGCTTATTTTATTTTGTTGGGGTTTTTTTTGCAGAACCGGGGATTGAACTCAGGCCCTTGCGCTTGCCAGGGAAGCGCTTATTCCACTGAGCCATCTCCCTGGCCCTTGCTCGTTTTTCCAAGCAGGAAAAGATGGCAGACAATTCAGTGGCAGACAGCAGGAAATCTGAACTCCACATCCCAGATGGGTCTCAAGGGCATCTTACAGCATGTAGTGGCCATCGTCAAAACTGGACTTCACTTATAAAACACTGGTCCTGGTCCAGAGAGACAGCAGACTACAGTGCCTGCTTAGGCAAGCTCAGGCAAGTGCAGGGACCACAGTCTGATCCCTGGCACCACATGCTGCACCAGCCCCACCCGCAGAGTGGGCTGAGCCAGTCTGCGTGTGGGCATAGTCACCTACACCTACAATCCCAGCACTGGGGAGGCTGAAAGCAGGAGGATCACCATGAGTCCAAGCTGCATAGTGAGACCTTGTAACAACCAAATACATAAAAATAAATAAAATAAAACACTAGTCTTACAAGTGCTCTTTCTTTTAGTTTTGTCCTGAAACGACAGAATTACAGAGGCAGTGAGCAAAATAGAGTCTGTGGGGGATGAGAGATTCTGAGTTGAGGAGGTGTGAAGAGAAAGGAACAATAAGAGAATCTCTGTGCCCAGGAAACAATTCTGTGTTTCGACTGCAGACAAGGAACAGTCTCACCCCTGATGAAAGACACAGGACTCACTCATCATGGCAGGGCCAGAACCCTTCTTTTGCTGCTGCACTGCAGTCACATATGGTATAATCGCTGGGGAAACAGGGAAAGGCCCATGGGAGCACTGGAAACTATTGCTGCAACAACCTAAAAGTCTGCATTTGTTTCTGAAGAAAAAGGAAAAGGAAATGCTTTCCAGGCTGGGAAGATAGCTCAACAGCACAAGCGCTGCCTGCCAAGCACAAGGTCAAGTTCAATCCTGGTACCAAAAAAAAAATAAAAATAAAAAAAAGAAATGCTTTCCATTACTTTATGAAGACTTGCTCTATTCCCTTCAGTTGTTGATCTCAGGCTGCACTGATCCCCCAGGACTAAGGGCCACATCTGAGCCTGAATGGTGGCTGTGACCTTGTACCTGGCACGAGCCTGGCTCGCACAGGCACTGATCAAACACTTGCTGTACAGCACCTAGGGAAACCTCCTGGGCCACATATCCTGCTCCACAGCCGTCCCTGAGCCCCACTGTGGTCAGTGGGACCCAAGCTGGAACAGTCCCTGCTGTGTCCTGTGTGCCCCTCACTGAACCCCTATATGTCTCACAGCTGCTTCCTCACAGGTGATGGAGACTCTTCTTGTACCTGGCCCAGGCAACGTTTGTGTGTGTGGATATATGTGTGTGTATATGTGTGTGTGTGTGAGACAGAGAGAGAGAGAGAGAGAGAGAGACAGAGACAGAGAGAAGAGAGGGAGAGAGAGAGACACAACACACCTTCCCCCCTCCTGGAAGAGTGAAACAGACCTGCCTGGCACCATCTATATTCCAGGCCCCCACATGCCAGGTGTGCTCAGAAGCCTGGAGCTTAGCTCCTCCCAGCTGTGACCTTCTGCGGTCCCTTCTATCTCCATCTGGAAATGGTGGTGCCAGGCACTGAAGAGCCACTGGCAATATCACATGAACAGCTGGGTCAGGTAAGGGCTGGAACCTGAAATCTGTCTTGCTAAACCCCACTCTGGTCATTGATTGTTAAGATGGCAAGAAGGGTTAGGCAGGGTGATGAATGTCTATAATTCCAGCACAGGAGGCTGAGGCAGGAGGATTGCTGAGAGTTAAAAGCCAACCTGGGCTACATAGCAAGCTCAAGTCCAGCCTGGACTATTCAGGGGGACCTTGTCTCAAAACAAAACAAGGCAGAAGGGATGCCATACCAAGCCCAGGACCCTCCCTGACCCTGAACACTGATTTTCACAATTGTCCTACAAGGAGGGTGGTAGGCTTTGAAACCAAGTGTTGGTCTCTGTAGTGAGCTCCTGTCCTCTCTGCCTCATGGCTTATGGCTTGGAGTGGAGGGCTCTGAGCCAGGATCCACATCAGTACCTCCTCCTCGGTGACAGCATAGATATTGATTTCCTCCTCCTCCTCCTCCTCCTCTTCCTCTTCCTTTTCTCCTCTTGCTAGCCGAGCATCCCTCTCTGCTTTCCATTTTTCCACCAGTTCAGCTCTGACTGCAGACAGGGAGATGGAAGCTATGATTGCATCTCTGAAGGAAAGGCCAAGATGGCGCCCTGAAGAGAGCCGCTCTTATACTGGGATTTGGCTGGGAGGGTGGTCTGATTCTAAAACACCTCTGGCTTTAAGTCACTACACAGCACCTTTTCAGGGACTGTCCCCTGATCCTCCCAAGGCCAGCAACCTGAGTGGCTTTCAGAAACATTCACATGCAAATGAGGGAGATGGACAGCCACATGCCTCAGCACTTGGGAAGCTGAAGCAAGAAGACCATAAGTTAAGGCCAGCTTGGGCTACAGGACACAGGGAGACCCTGTCTTAAAACCCGAAAGAAGGGCCAGCCAGACAGCTCAGCGGACTAAAGTGCCTACTTAGGCAGAGTGCAGTGGCCGAGGTTCAATCCCCAGTGTGCCATGCCGGTCCTGCTCCTGGAGCACGCTGAGACGGTGACTGAAACTGGGCATGGTAGCAGGCCTGTAACCCCAGCCCTTGGGAGGCTGAACACAGGTCGATCACTACAAACCCAATCTACGTATTGAGACCCTGTAGACCTTGTACCAAAAAAAGGGAAAATAAATAAATAAATAAATAAATGGAAAGAAAGAACACAAAAGGAAGAAAAAGGAAAAAAAAAAAAAGAAAAGAAAAAAATGGAGCCCACAGCAAGCTGGAAAGGAGCTCCACGCTTTCAAAGTCCCAGATCACTGAGTACCAAGTGGACTAGCACAAGTGCACTGCCCACCCAGGCTCTGGCCTCATTCTGTACCCATAAACCCTCTACTGCACTTAAGACAGGGAGAGAGGGCTGGTGAGATGGCTCAGTGGTCTAAAGCACCTACTTAGAACAAGCTAAGCTAAGCAAAGCACAGGGACCGCAGTTCAATCCCCCAGCACCACATCCCAGCCAGCCCCGCTCCCTGGTGGGCTGAACTGGCCACACACAAATAAGTAAACAAATAAATTTAAAAAAAAAAAAAAAAAGACAGGGAAAGATTAGATGTAGCCCTTCAACTTCCCCAGCCCAACTCCACACTGTGGGCCTCACTGGCCGCCTATGGCCGGCTCACACCTGCCACTCCTAGACCTCTGAGGACTTGAATTAGCAAGGGGGAAAATGCTTTTCTGCCAATGCACTCCTTAGAACAGTTTTCAAAGGGAAGAAACCAGAGGGCATTCCACACAAGAGGCCTAGAGACCTACGTTTCTTCTCATATTCTTGTTCCAAAGGCACAATGACGCCATCATCTTCATCTAGGTATCCATAGTACTCAAAGTCAATTGCTTTCATGAGCTCAGCACGAGTCTTTCTGGGAGGAGGAAGAGCTACAGGAAAAAAAGTGGCAATTTAGTTCATTCTTGGGTCACAGTGACTCTTGAACCCAGTCTTCCTCATAACACTGTTCAGTCAGACAGCACACAAAATGATGAGACATTTTCAGCAGGTGAGAAGATGCACACCTGTAATCCCAGCACTTAGGAGGCTGAGGCAGGACAATTTGAGTTCCAGGCCAGCCTGGGCTACACAGTGATACCCTCTCTCAAAATAAAATCTTCCCCCTTCATTTCAAACACACTTATCCCCCTCCTCTAGTCACTTTCTACAGCACCTCTGGAGTCCTCTTTTCTAGGTGTCTTCGTAAAGCAGAATTCAAATTATGGTGAATGTTGCTTCCAAGCACCATCTAACAGAAAGGCACCTTGGAAAAACATGATGCTGTGTCCTCAGCTGTGTTATTCACCAGATCTGGCACCTATGACTTCTGGTTCTTTCCCAAAGTCAATGACCATGAAAGATAAACATTTTAAATTGATTAAGAACATCAAGGCAGCCACAACAGCACACCTGAAGATACCCAGGAAAGAGAGCTCCAGAGCTGCTGCAGAAAACTAGGCATGGGTGCTGGGGAGATGGCTCAGTGGAATAAGCGCTTTCCTGGCAAGTACAATGGCCTGAGTTCAATCCCCAGTTCTGCAAAAAAAAAGAGAGGCCCTGTCCCAAAAAAACAAAAAACCCATAATAATAATACTACCAGAAAAGCACTGAGCATGTATTTACTCACATAACAGTAACTAAAGAAAGAAATGGTGGGGCCAGGGAGATGGCTCAGTGGAATAAGCACTTCCCTGGCAAATGCACAATTCTGAGTTCAATCCCTGGTTCTGCCAAAAAAAAAAAAAAAAAAAAAGAAATGGCTCATTTTAAAGGGTGAGCCTCTCAACCACTCCTTCTTCCCTCAAGACTTCACTTTGATGTGATAATACAGCAATATGGCAGCTCTCTAACGTGTACAAGCCTGGAGCATCCCTTCTCCTCCTCCCCCCTCCCCCTCCCATAAGTGACTTCACTCCCTAATTTGCGGTGCCCGTCTCTACTTTCATGGTCCTTGTTTAGACTCCCTACCTGACTGAGGTTGACCAGATGGCCAAAATTATAAACCTATGGGTTTAAAGCAACTGTCTTTGGCCTCCTTTTTTTCTACTGCAAACTCTAAAAATCTTTGTAACAATGTCCCCAGGGATCAGAAGTTAGGAAGCATGAACTTCTCTGAGCCAGGGTAGCCAAATAAAGGCTTTTTCCATCTCTCTTGGGAGCACATGGTTGGTTCTTATGGCATCTGAAAAAGTCTGGTATCCTACTCTCCATAACATCACCACATCACAGGCAAAAGCCTTCAAAAGCCCAAGTTACTTACGTTCTTTCTCAAAGAGCTCTCTTACACCAGGCAAATCCTTTGCTGCTCCAAAGTATTTATAACCTCGGTTTCCAGGGACTTCTTTCCCTTCATGGTCTAGCATTTTAGGGCCAACTTTCTTATTGGAAGAGAAAAAGACAAAATGAATATTATAACATAAACTTAATATTTCTACTTCTATAAACATGTTTTAAATTAACGTTAAACGTGGAAAATATTTACGTACACAGAGAAGTCTGTATTTTTACCCATTAAAAATGAACCTACCACCTATAATCTCAGCACTCAGGAGGCTGAGGCAGGAGGATCGCTGTGATTTTGAGGCCAGTCTGGGCTACAAAGTGAGTTCAAAGCTAGCCTGAACTGCATAGTGAAACCCCACCTCAAAAAATAAATAAATAAACCTACCAAAAAAATTCTTAAATGTCTAACAAGGCTTAAGTAAATTACTGCATATTCACTGATGCATTCTAATTCTTTTTTTTTCTTAATTTTTTATTTATTTATTTATTTGTGTGTGTGTGTGTGTGTGTGTGTGTGTGTGTGTGTGCGTGCGTGGCCAGCTCAGCCCACCAGGGGGCGGGCCGGCTGGCATGTGGTGCTGGGGGATCGAACCGCGGTCCCTGGGCTCCGCCAAGCTTGTTCTAAGTAGGTGCTCTAGACCACTGAGCCATCCCACCAGCCCCTGCATTCTAATTCTATACCCTAAAATTCACGATCTTTATAAAATGCTCATATTGATTTTTTTTATTTTTATTTTTTTATTTTTTTTCAAAACCGGGGATTGAACTCAGGTCTTTGCGCTTGCCAGGAAAGTGCTTATTCCACTGAGCCATCTCCCCAGCCCCTCATATTGATTTAGATTAGACAAATACTTAACATGTGAAGTAATAAAATCTTTAAAAAAAAAATTACAAATTACCTAAATGATGATCCGTAGCAGACAAATGAAATACACTTAGATGATGAAACCGTATTTGTATGGTCCAGGTACACTTGCTATATGACTTGCTTTACCATTTGATCCCCATTTAATCAGTCTCACCTAAGTGATAATACTTACAATCTTATTTGATGACCATAGCTTTGCCCTATCTCATGCAGTTTCCATGTTACCTGAGCAATTATAGTTGTAATCATATTGACTATTGTTTTGTCATACCTGCCTCACCTTGGTACTTTGCTCTATAAATCTCCCTTGAGAAGCAGGATCTCTAGGGCCACCCACTTGGGATTCCCTTCTCTCTTTCTCTCTTTTTTTTTGGTAGAACCAGGGATTGAACGCAGGCCCTTGCGTTTGCCAGGGAAGCACTTATTCCACTAAGCCATCTCCCAGGCCCTGGGACTCCCTTCTCTTATAGAAGCTATCATTTTCTCAATAAACACTTTCTTCTTCTTCTTCTTCTTTTTTTTTTTTTTTTAATTTTTTGAGCCTGGGGCTTGCTTTGTCATTCAGGTTAGCCTTGAATTCACTATGGAGCTCGGGCTGACCTTGAACTCAGTGCGATGATTACGGGTAAGTGCTATGTCCTCCCTCTATCACATTCATGAATTTAATTCTTTCTACAATTCTGGTCACAAATCAAGTTGGAAAAGAACCAAATCAAATTCAGGGATGGTGAGATAGCTCAGCAGACTAAACACCCGCGTAGCCAAGTGCAGGGACTAGGGTTCAATCCTTGCACCACATGTCCTGAGCACACTGAGCCGGCCATGGAGACCAGGCATAGTGGCACATGCTTGTATTCCCAGAGATGGGGAGGTTAAAAATGGGGATCACTATTAGTCCAAGCTGCATAGAGAGACCCTGTACCAAATACATTAAAAAAAAAAAAAATCAATGGTTAGATTCAATGCTAATCTTACAAGGAAATTTGATCCAGTTCACAACCATTTTGGTTTGTAAGCAGAATCAGAAAAAATTAAGTTCATGAACTAAGGTATATTGTACTTTGAAACCATACAGAATTTTTTTTTTCTTTTTGAGACAGGGTCTCACTATGCAGTTCAGGCTGGCCTTGAAGTCACTCTGAGACCTAGGTTGGTCTTGAACTTGCAACAATCCTCCTGCCTCAGTCTCCAAGTGCTATGATCATAGGCCTGCACTACCAAGCCCAGCTTTATAATTTTGATAAATAACTCTTTAAAAATTATATTAATCTAAGGCCAGGGAGATGACTCAGTGGAATAAGAGCTTCCCTGGCAAATGCAAGGGCCTGAGTTCAATCCCTGGTTCCACAAAAAA